AAAGGGCCAAACAAGTGCAAATGAGGGGAGAATCCTTAGAGAAAAAGGATAAAAGAGTGGCATAAATGCTACTCATCAATATCCCCCACACTTGCCTCTTGCTTGTCCTCAAGCAAGGAAAACCGGAGCAAAAAGACAAACACAACAAACATAACATGACAAGGTTTTAGCAAAACCAATCAAGCCTCAAGGTAATGGAATGCTCAATTTGGACTCATTTGCAAATAAATACACCAAAGAATACTTATTTTTCTCAATTCAGAGAGGGAAAACACGTTTCAAGATGCTCGAGGTTGAAAAAGACAAACCTAAACTAAGCGTAGAGAACTAATGATTTCATTTTCCGCCCTAGCCCCAACCAAGACGGTCCGCGTTCTCTCCACTAGCTTCAATTCATCCTTTAGCTAGCTCCTCATGGTTCCTCGAGGGAACCGGAAAAAGAAAATTTTATGTGGAATCATAAGGTCATCCTGACATCTCAACTATGCATACTCTCTCCATAGGGTTGAAATCTATCTCCCTCCACCGTTCTTTGACCACGCCCCTCTAGAATCCAAGGGTCTTAAGTAGGGTTGTAATGTCATGGCTAGGGGTTATGGTTGGGAAACAATTTGAAAATTTTGGTGGCAATTCCTAAGTGAAGCGTAAGAGTGGCCATCTCTCAAGAAAATCCTAAGAATTTAACCTATTCTTCAAACTTACAACCTTTCAAAACAAACCACACCACATTACTTCAATTTTTTTCATCATTTTTTTTTCATGAGTTTCAACTTTCTTGCCAAGCCTTTGTGCATACTCTTTTCATGAATAACCTTTCAAAACCTTATTTGAACCAAATTACACAACTTTCTTGCTCAATTTCAACATTATCAAACTCGAACCTCACAAACCAATGCTTCACTAACTACAAGGGTTGGTAAATCATAGGCCGATAGGTTTGTAATATGGCTAAGTCAAGAAAGGGGAAATAAGGCTCAAATTGGTTAGCAAGAGGGTGAATGTAAAAAAATGAAAACCAAATTTGTAACAAAACACAAAGAAAACAAAGAAAAATGAGAAGAAATGCCCTCTTCCTCCTCTAGAGCTATATGGTCACGATCTTGGGAGTTAGACGTCAACACAAAGGTTAAGGATCCTAAATGCCGCTCGCAAGAATGATGAAGGCTAGATCAAATGACGCTCACACGGGAAAAGAAAGCAAATACTAACCAAGGGAATCCTATCCACCATAGAGAGCAACACCATCTTACCACTTTCCCGTGAACTAGGGGTTCAAACGTCCTCAAAAGTTCTAAACCGGGCTACCTTAGCTTACAATGTGTCTATTTCAACCCAAAGCATTCTCAAACCGTGTAAACCCTCATCAACTAGGAAGATAAGCATTCAAAGACACATCGAGGCAAACCAATCCAAAAGAATGAGCAAATTACTCAAAAATCATTTCAAATTGTCATAATTATGCTTGTAACAAAAAAAGGGGAAAACAAAACAAAAGAAAGAGGAAGAAATAAAAAAGGTTCACATACGAGGCATATAATTCAATTAAATCCCAATCGTCATACAAGTGATCGTTCGATAACAACATCAACGATCCCAGGTTCCATAGAACCAAAAGCAAACATCCTCGAACCATTCAACTTCTTCCTAAGCTAAACCTAAGCTAAACACCCAAGGAAAAAGAAAATAAAAGAGAGGAAAAGTCTCACCAAATTCCGCTTGAAATGAAGACAAGATAAATTATGCAATCTCACCGAGGGGGGCTCGATTTGCCCTTTGTCTTCCTTTATCTCCATTTCCAAGCTTGAAAAGTGAGCCAAAATGAAAGAAACGACTAAGATGAAACAAAAATAAAATAAAAATAAAATAAAAAATCAAAGAAAGAAACTAAAAATTTAAACAAAATGAAGAAATAGAAATAAAAAAAAATAAACTAAAAGAAATTTGGATTAAGGGAAGTTTGAACTATCGGGAGTTTGGATTTTTCTTCATGGGAGTGCCATCACCTACACAAACACTTGAAAATTCATTAGCAAAAACTTGTCAAAATCACCCAGGGACATAATCATCACAATCAAGCAAATAAATCAACATCAAAACATGATAAAGCCAACCGAACCATGAGAGCTCTACCACCTACAATGAAATCCCCCCCACACTAGCATGATGACAAGCCTCCCCCCACACTATCACAAGGGCCGGCTTCGTCATCATCTCCATCATCCTCGGTGTCGTAAGAGAAACCGTCCGGAGGGATGCCGTGTGGGTCCCAACCACCGGAGTAACCCGGAGGCCAACTATAGTGACCTCGGAAGAGGTCTTGTTGCCATTGAGGCAACGGGTCGAAAGGGGCGGGAAGCTGAAGAGGGGAAGGGTGGGTAGGGTTGACATATGGATAGTTGGGGTCACCCCTAAAATCGCTCCCCCCGGGGGCACGATAATCGTACCCGGTTTCTGTCGGGTAGTCTACCCGGGAAACACCGTGGGAGGAGGGCCCTTGCCAATTGGGCCAAGTAGGTTGTGATCCCTGCCACCCAAGGACCGGGCCTTGTTGGGGTGGCCAATAGGGGTAATTTACTGGGGGGTGACCTCACCCCTATCCACGGCCGCACCATAAAGAGCTTGGGTTTGCATAAACATACCCTGGTTGTTCTCCATTATGCTCTGCATGCCAAGTTGCATGCTCATCATTTGTTGTTCAAGGCTACTCATGGCCTTGATGCTGTTGTTGTTGCTGTTGCTGTTGCTATTGTTGTTGTTGTTGTTGTTGCTACTGTTGCTGTTGCTGTTGTTGTTGCTGTTGTTGTTGGTCGACTTCCATATTCCTTGCGCCACCCAGAGCAGGGGGTAGCACACGATTGTCTCGCGGAATCTTCCATACATTCCTTGCGTTCCGCTCCAAGGATGTACGGCTGGGGTAAGGAAAGATATAATGGTGCTCGCGGTCAACCATCCAGGCATGAAAATTGTGGGCATTTGAAGTTCCTTGGAGGAACTCCGACCTTCTCATTTGCTGTATGTCGATGAATAGATCTTTGTCGGCCCCAAATTGAGTGCACGAGGGGAAGAAGCGTTCATAGTTGAGCTTGTTGACAATCCTTGTAATCATCCCACCGAGGGCAATTTCTCCTGTCTTGTGGCCCGACTTGATTGTCTCGCAGCACACGACGAACCAGTACCCCATATTGAGCCGCCCTTTCAATTCCTCCCTAGTGGCAACCCACAAAGTAAATAGCTCTTCATGTAGAGCTTACTCAAGTCCTGCTTGCTAAACACCGTAAACCCTAGAATGAGGTGTAGAATACGGAGCACAGGGTGGATATATGGTTGGCCACTGAATACCTGGTGTTGAACTCTTCAAAGTCGGTAATCGTTTGCCACCATCTAAATGCATCGTACTTAGGGAACAGGCTCAATGAAGGGGCAAGGAGGTCCGCCTCGGGGTTCAAATCCAACAATACATTAAGATCACTAAGAGTCCTAATGTGCTGGTTGTTGAACAGTTGGTAGGAAATTTGGAAGTCGTTCACAAGAGGCTCCTTTTCAAAAGAGGCCAAGAATTCGAAGGTGGGCTCCTTATAAGTTCGGAATTGATGTTTGATGAACTCACTCATCCCCAAGTTGTCAAGGAGCGACCTTATATCGTCGTCAATCCCCAAAGCTTTCATGGAGCGTTGATCATAGTGTCGGGAGGGATTTAACTTTCGTCCGTGAAGGTCGTTGAAGAACGTAGCATGGACCTTGTTCAAGAATCTCAATCTAGGGGGAACATTTGGTCCTTGAGCTTGATTTTGTTGGGTACTCGGTTCCTCAACCCTTAACCTGGGCTCCTTTCTGCTCTTCCTTTTGCTCATTATGTTCAAGCAATACAAACAACCCAAACAAAAGGAGAACTACCTTCGAACTTAACCAACAATTGGAAAACAACAACAACAACCCAAGTCTCAACAATCTGCAAAAGGGTTAGTACTAACAACTAACCACACAAATATAGTGCCCAAGACAACAAGAATCAACAACAAAGCAGTCAATCAAAATACATTATGATAGTAAGCAATTCTCATAAAAGTAGTTGCATTATCATCAATACAAACACCAAATTTCTCAACTTAATTTCATGAAAATGGCTTCCAAAATAATAGTATTAACAATAATGTCCCAAAAATCACTAAATTTCACACTAATAACCAACAAATCCTTCACAAAGAAAATCAAAATCACATGCAATTCACTCAAGCTAAGTCATGTTTAATAACAAAAAATTTTGCATAAACAAGTGAAATTAAGTAATAGATAGCAAAATTTAGAGTTATACCACTTTGTAGAAGCTTGAACACCACTAAGAGCCTCCAAGAACACCACCTTCAATTAAGCTTGCAAACCATGAAAATGGAGGATTTTTAGGTATTTTGGAGAGAGAAAGTGGGTGAATTTGTGAGTAGAGTGAAAGTTTTTGATGGATTTGAAGGAAAATCAATGGAATTTGTGAGAAATGGGTGAAATTTGAAGGTTAGGGTTTGAGTTTGTGAGGAGAGAGAAGAGAGCATGAAAATTGGGTTTCGAAAATATGAGGATGAAATCGGGAAGAAGAGGGTTAAAACCCGATTTTCCCAGCTCTGCGCGCCCGAACAGAAGTCGCGCACTAGGTCGCGCAAATTCTCTGTCTCGAATATCCAATTTTGATTAAATTTGTGCGGGTTCTGGCAGTGAACGCGCGCCCGCGCACTTCACACTGCGCGCCCGCACAGATGTTGCGCACAGGGTCGCACAGAGTAAAATTCGATTTATCCTCACATCTTCGAAATAGAAAATCCTTGTTCCTTCATCATCCAAACACCTATCAACCAAAAAGGTGAAAAAATCAAAATCTAATTCAAATTCAAAAAGGAGAAAGTGAAATCAGAATATTCTAAAAAAAAGTATAGAAAGGAGTTAGAAACTCGGGTAGCCTTCCGAGAAGCGCTTCTTTATGAGGTCACTAGCTTGACCATGAGAAAAATTCTTCAAGTGGGAGGCTTGGGATCCAAAGGATTAAGCATTATACATTTGATGATACCAACTTCTTCCTTGCACAAGTAATGCTTTAAACGATGACCATTAACCATAAACTTGCTACCATCCATATCTAACTCAAAGGAGCCATAAGGAGTAGTCTTTAATATCACAAAAGGACCCGACCACTTTGATTTGAGTTTACCCAGAAACAAACGAAGCCTTGAGTTGAAAAGCAAAACCTTGTCTCCAACCTTAAAGTTCTTGTTTCGAATATGTTGGTCATGCCACTTTTTGGTTTTCTCCTTATATAACCTTGAGCTCTCATAAGCATCATCTCTAAGATCTTCAAGTTCACTGAGCTTAAGCAATCTCTTCTCACCAGCCAACGATAAATCCATATTGAGCTCTTTGATGGCCCACTAAGCCTTGTATTCTAACTCAACCGGCAAGTGACAAGCCTTTCCATAGACCAACCTATAGGGGGTATGCCGATTGGAGTCTTATACGCCGTCCTAAGAGCCCATAGTGTGTCATCAAGTTTGAGAGACCAATCTTTCCTTGATTTGTTCACCATCCTTTCAAGAGAATTTTGATTTCACGATTCGAGACCTCCACATGTCCTTCAGTTTGAGGGTGGTAAGGTAATCCAATCTTGTGATGAACGTCGTACCTCTTGAGAAGAGCTTCAAATTGCTTTTTGGCGAAATGGGAGCCTCCATCACTAATTAGCACCCTCGGAACTCCAAACCTAGGAAAAATGATCTTCTTTAGTAGCTTAACCACAACCTTGTGATCATTGGTAGGTGAGGGTATGACTTCAATCCATTTCGTCACATAATCGACTGCTACCAAGATATATAGATTCCCACAAGAAGGAACGAAAGGCCCCATTAAATCCACCCCCCAAACATCGAAGGGTTCAACTTCTAAAACACTTTGTTGGGGCATTTTGTCCCTCTTGGTAATGCCTCCGCTCCTTTGACATCTATCACATTGCGCAACGAATTGGTGGGCGTCTCTATGCATCGTCGGCCACCACAATAAAGATTGAGAGATTTTTGCCACTATTTTGTCAACACCACCATGTCCTCCACATGGTAGTGAGTGGCAATGCTCAAGAACACCTTGAATTTCATGATCTGGGATATACTTCCGATAAAGGCCATCTCTAAATTGCTTGAATAGGTATGGGTCATTCCAAAAATACCTTCTCACTTCCTTGAAAAACTTCTTCTTTTGTTAAGAAGAGTACTCCGGGGGAACGACTCCACACGCAAGATAGTTGGCTGTATCCGCGTACCAAGGGGTAGAAGTTGACACCAAAGCCATGGGAGCCTCGAATCCTATCTCATCATTAATCGGTACATCCTCCTTGTTCTCAAATGGTAGCCTAGAAAACTGATCTTCTACATAGTTCTCCGCTCCCTTTTTATCCCTCATTTCCATGTGAAAGTCTTGGAGAGAGAGAACCCAACGGATAAAGCGAGGCTTTGCTTCTTTCTTGGTCATGAGATACCGCACCGCGATGTGATCCGTGTACAAAATAACTTTTGAGCATATGAGATAGGACCGAAACTTATCGAATGCAAACACTACCGCTAACATCTCTTTCTCCATTGTTGTGTAATTCTTTTGAGCCTCATCTAGAGTCCTACTTGCGTAGTAGATGACACATGATTTTCCTTGTTTCTTTTGACCAAGAACGACACCTACTGCAAAGTCACTAGCATCGCACATTAGCTCAAAAGGCAAGCTTCAATCCGGAGCTTGCACAACGGGAGAAGAAATGAGAGCTTCCTTGAGCTTACGAAACGCCTCAAGGCAAGCCTAATTGAAGTAAAAAACAACCTCTTTTTTGAGTAATTCGGTCAAAGGTTTGGCGATTGAAGAAAAAACTTTGATAAACCTCCGGTAAAAACCGGCATGCCCAAGAAAAGCCCGTACCCCCGTGATGGAAGTAGGAGGGGGCAACTTTTCAATCACCGAAACCTTGGCCGGATCAACCTCAATGCCATTTTTTTAAACCTTATAGCCGAGGACAATGCCCTCCTCGACCATAAAATGGCACTTTTCCCAATTTAAAACCAAACTCGTCTCTTGACACTTTCAAAACTTTTTCAAGGTTAAAAAGACAAGTGTCAAAAGACAAGCCACCAACACTAAAATCATCCATGAAAACCTCAATTTCTTTTTCAAGCATCTCAGAGAAAATGGAAGTCATGCATCTTTGTAAAGTAGAGGGAGCATTGCATAATCCGAATGGCATCTTCGGTATGCAAATGTCCCATATGGACACGTGAAAGTAGTTTTCTCTTGATCACTGGGATGGATAGGGATTTAGAAAAATCCGGAATACCCATCCAAGAAACAAAAGAAAGCATGGTTAGAAAGCCTTTCAAGCATTTGGTCCATGAAAGGGAAAGGAAAATGATCTTTCTTGGTGTTTTTGTTCAATCTTCTATAATCAATGCACATTCTCCACCCGGTCACCGTCCGGGTGGAGATTTCCTCTCCCTTTTCATCCTTGATTATGGTCATCCCACCCTTCTTTGGAACTACATGAACCGGGCTAACCCATTTGCTATCGGAGATAGCATAGATGATTCCCGCCTCACTTAGTTTCAAAATTTCTTTCTTCACAACCTCTTGAAGGTTGGGGTTCAACCTTCTTTGAGGTTCAATGGAGGTGGAATGATCATCTTCAAGATGAATACGATGCATGCATAAAGAAGGGCTAATACCTTTGATATCATCAATGCTATACCCTATCAAACCCCTATATTTTCTTAAAACATCAAGAAGTTTTTCCAAATTAACACCATCTAGGGTAGCATTGACAATAATAGGGTATTTTCCCTCCTTATCAAGAAAAAAATATTTTAAAGAAGGGGGAAGGGGCTTGAGTTCTACCTTAAGAGGAGGCTTAGAACTCTCCTCCAATTTCTCCTCCTTGGACTCAAGCTCGATCTCAACTTGTTGTTCAACTTCCTCCTTTGAGGATTCCTCCATTGCTATGACAAATTCTTTAGCCTCTTCAGAGTGGAACTCTTGTTTGCATGTAAGGGATTCTATCATTGGATCTTGAGGCCTCATCACGACCCTCCCCAAGCGATCTATCTCCTCATTCACAACATCAACTCTATAGCATTTTTCAACCATGGGGGTATTGAGCAACTTAGAAAATTCAAAGACAATCTTTTCATCGGCAACTTAACAAGTGATGGTGTTGTTCTTGCAATTGATGACCGCCCCCAAAGTTTTAAGAGCTTCACGTCCCAAAATCAAAGGAGTGTTAACATCTTCCTCCATATCCATCACTACAAAGTCACAAGGCACGTATATGTTTCCCACTTGAATTGGAACATCCTCAAGCTCTCCACAAGTTAATTTCACCGATCGATCGGCCAATTGAATTGTCTTCCTTGTAGGGATCATCTCTATATTGAGTTTTTGAGCAATGGATATAGGGATTAAACTAACACTTGCTCCAAGATCGGCTAAGGCGCCCCTAGCTTCCATGTTCCTAATTTTCACCGGCAAAGTGAAACTTCCCGGGTCTTTTTCCTTATTGGGCTTCTTATGTTGGACAAGAGCACTCACTTGATGTGGAAGGGTGATAAGCTCATCATTGAGCTTCCTCTTGTTGGTGAGAATATCCTTGAGGAACTTGGAGTAAGATGGCATTTGTGTCACAACTTGAAGTAAAGGGAGGTTGATATGCAAATTCTTCATGACACTAAGAAATTTTGTGAACTTGTCATTCAACTTCCTCTCCGCTAGCCGACCGGGAAAAGGAACCGGTCCATCAAGATTCCTAGCCTCACTAGGAATTGAAGTTGTCTTCTCATTGTCAAGTTTCTTCTTCTCCGAACCTCCTTTTATCTCATCACCTTTTTCTTTCTCACCTCCCTTATTTTCATTCACACTCTCCTCTCCTCCCTTCTTTTCGTCACTATCCCCTTCATTTGGCCCTTCATAGGAAGTTCCTGACCTCAATGGGATCGCCTTACATGTATCGAGTTTTGGATTGTGAGATGGGTTAGGTTGTGGTTGTCCGGGTAGAGTGGATGGTGAATTGAAAGGAGTTCTCTCGGCCAATTGAGCTAGTTGTGAATCAACCATCTTGTTGTGAGCTCTTATCTCTTGCATTTGTTGCCCAAAAGTTTGCATTTGCGCATGCATGTCTTGGAGGAGTTGAATTTGAGTTAGCTCCGCTTGAGGTGCTTGTTCTTGATGATTTCTTTGAGGTGCTTGGGTTTTATTGTTGTATTGGTTGTTCCTTGGATAGCTTCCTCTTGGGTTTTGGGGTTGAGATGGAGTTGAATTTTGATATTGAGGGTTGGAGTTGTAGGAAGGTTGAGCTTGTTGGTTCCATTGTTGAGGTTGAGGTACAAACCCGGGTGGTGGTTGTCTCCAAGCTACTCCACCGCTGCTTCCTCTAAATCCCTCTTGCCTTGTGATGTATGCCCTACATGTTCGGGGCTTAAACCTCAACAATAGGATGTATCATGGTTCGTTCCTCCACAATTTTGACAAGAGAAAGAGTTAACTTGAGAAGAGCTTGCTCCACCACTTGAACTTGCATTCACACTCGTGTTCAACTTTGAAAGCCCTTTTGTTAGTTGATCAATTTGATGTTGTAATTGATCAACTTTCTCCAATTCGTAAATACCACCTCTCTTTGGAGCGTTTCTTCTTCGGACCCCCAAGAGTAATTCTTTGCTACCTCTTCTATTGTGGCTTCAACTTGATTTTGAGGGATCTTGATTAATTGACCACCCGCCCCCGCATCCAAATTGGGTCTTGACATGGGTTCCAATCCGTCGTAGAAAAACCGCATGAGAAACCCTTGATTGTACTCATGGCGGGGACATGCTTGCACCAACTCTTTGAATATCTCCCATGCTTCACCAAGACTTTCATCGGCCTCTTGCTCAAATGATGCAATTTTCCTTCTCATTTCGGCGGTCTTCTCTTCGGAGATAAAGCACTTCAAGAACTCCTTTACAACCTCCCTCCATGTTGTGAGAGTGTTGGGCTTTACTTGCTTTAGCCATTTCTTTGCACGTTCGGTGAGAGATTGTCGGAAAAGGTGCATACAAATGTAGTCTTGAATCACTTCATTGGTTTTCATCATTGCGCACAATTCAAGGAATTGGTCCAAATGTTCAATAGGGTCCTCACTTGCACTTCCGGAAAATTGCTCCGATTGGACCATTCGAGTATATTGTGGATGGATTGAGAAGTTGGTTTTCGTGACGGGTAGCAAAATCTCTCCCGTGAGCTCATAATCCTCCGGATTTCCGAACTCACAAAACAAAACATCATTCTCTTGTCCCACCATTGATTCGCGTGGTGAACTTGAAGAGTAAGTATCACTCTCACTATCAACTATATC